CTTATTTTAATCGCTGTCTATGAAATTTTTTATATATGTTATATGTGTATATATATATATATATACATATATATATTATTTAGGACAATATATATAGCGCCCATTTAATGTTCTCACAGGCGCTCTCAAAAAATCAATGCAAAGAAAATAAGTACAAAATCAAATTCAATGCAACTTCAACGAAAATAAAAATGTCTTTAAATCTTTTTTAAATGATTGAAGATGACGTCCAGGTTTTCTCAGCGATGCAGGAAGACTGTTCCACACAGTGGGACCGACAATTGCGATATCACGTGATCCAATCTGTAACCTTGAGAGATTCGTATCATCTGACCGAAGGCACCCTTAAGAGATTCGTATCATCTGACCGAAGGCAGAAACTAGATACCGTTCCTTTTTTGGTAAATTTATTGGTTATGTAATCTGGTGACATTCCGTTTAAAGCCTTGAACATGGTCACACCAACTTTAAAAATTTTCCTTTTATCAATCGTCAATCAGTGAAAATCATTCAAAATTGGCGTAACGTGGTCAAACTTCAATTTACCAGCAACCAACTTTGCAGCTCTATTCTGAACCGATTGCAGATAGCAATAGATTTATCAGGTATTTTATACAACAAGCTGTTGCAGTAATCTAACCGAGATGTAATAAACGCATGCGCCAAAGTTTCCAAGGTTGGTCTGTCCAACCAGTGTTTAATTCTATATAAATTCCGGAGACAAAAGATGCATGAAACTGATATCATCTTTATATGATCTTTCATCAATAATCTACTATCAACCAAAACTCCCAAATTGGTGGCAGCACGAATGAACGGTATGTTAACATCATTTACTGTGATGGAATTTACATTTAATTTTACCAACTGCTGCCATTTGCCAACCGGAAGCAGCTGAGTCTTGCACTGATTAAGTTTCAATGAGTTACATGACATCCATTTCCAACCTCCGCTAATCATATGGCAAGTTTATCAACCTTAGCCTTGAAAAAACCAGGATGATCAGTCACCAAAATTTGAATATCATCCGCAAATGCATGACAGACAAAGCCATGAAAATTGATAATTTTAAATACATCTGATGTATATAATATAAACAGAATAGGTCTGAGAACAGATCCCTGAGATACCCCTGTTTTGACCATTTTAACATCAGACAGCACTTTGTTGAACAAGATCTGCTCTGTTCGACCCGTCAGATATGACTCAAACCACGCAAAAACAGTGTTATTCAATCCTAATTGTACTGCAACATTTTCAAAAGTATACCATGGTTGACACAGTCGAACGCTGACGACATATCCAAGAACGACAGTAATGAAATGTTTTGAACATCCATTGTTGAAAATATGTTTGATAAAACCTGAAGTAACGCTGTCTCAGTTGAGTGAAATCGTCTATATGCTGACTGATGAATCGGCATCCAACCATTTACAGACAAATAGACTAGCAGACTCTTCATAACAGCCCTCTCGACAACTTTTGATAAGAATGAAAGATTTGATATAGGTCTATAATTTTTAACATCATTAACATCAGAGTTTGTTTTCTTCAAAATTGGAAGAGCTACGGCATGTTTGAAACTAACAGGAAATTTACCCACTTTCAAACAAAAGTTAGTAAAACTGGTGAGGAAGCAAATAAACAAATCTAAGTATTTTTTAAGGACATGTGTCGGTATGACATCAAGTGAGCTTGTTTTTGTTAGAGAACTGAGTATGACACTTTTTAACTCGTCTTCTGTAATCACAGGGAACGATGAAATTCAGCAATCATTTGACGGCCTAAATCTCTCATTCAACGGAATAGAATTAACATCTGTTGTCTGAATAATCTGATCAACCTTGTCCGGGAAGAATTTCATGAACTGATGAGCATTTATTTTTATATCATTAATAGACAAATCGCGTCCTGAACCTCGTGATAACATATTGTTTACAATTTGATATTATATAGATATAGAAATAGATATTTCTGGACCCCTTGTTTAACTTTATTAAATTATTCCAATACCTTGTACGCCTGTCAGAAAAAAAATCGTTTTTAATTTTTAGCGAGGTAATCCATTTCTTTCTATTTATATCCGTTGAACATCTTCTGTAGAATCGTTCTACAACATCGTTTGGCGCGCAAGCAGTCTTCATCAAACCATGGAGCCACCCGCTCACCTCTGTCAAAAATCACCCTTTTAGGCACCAGTCTGTCAATGATATTCTTTAACTCATCATTGAAAATTTTTATCTCACTATCAACATCATTGCTACGACAAGAACCAGACAGTGGAGAATTTAAAACTGCTTCAACAAATCTATCTTTATCAATCTTTTTCCATGATCTAACAAATCGTTTGGCTGTTGTTCGACGTGGTTTAGCAATTATCGCCTTAATCGTTATTAGACTGTGATCAGAGAAAACTCCATGAGGAAAAACCGTAGTACTAATAATAGGAAAATCAGCGGAGCTAACAACCAGATCCAATGTTCCACCTCCTGACTGCGTTGACTCATTTATATGATTAACTAGTTGAAATACATCAAATATTTCAAATAAACGTATGGTGTTTTCATCATTTATTATTTCAATATGCACAATAAAAATAAAGTCGCCCATCAGTAAAATATTTGCCTTTAACAGAGTTATATGCTCCAGAACTGAAACCAACTCTTTAAAAAACAAAACGGTTATTTGTACTGAACCAGGCCTGTGCACACACAGAGGAATGAATTGATTTTTATTGATTACTAAATTAATGGCGACAGTTTCAAACGTTACAAATACAGGTAGATCTAACTTTCTACAACTAAACTCTTTACGAAAATATATGATCAACCCACCATGATCATTTGATCAAGCTGTATAAATCATATCCCCGGCTCTGTCGTCCATTTATAAAGTTGACTCTTTTTTGCTGGGAATTGAACTATCTTCTATTTTCCCACATCTCCTCTTACTGTAAATAAAAAACCCTCCGTTGAATTTTTTTTCCATCCGCCTGGCATCATCCAAGAAGTTCATTTCTTTGCTCAACAGTCAGATCGTGGCTCAGACCAACAAAAGTCAGACCATCGCCCACAGACCTCATTTTAACAATGTTCTTGAAGATAAGTTCTTTTACCTTCACGTCATCAAATTTAATCAAAATTGGTCTTACCACATTATCACTTTTCTTACCAAGTCTTAACGGCTTCACTATGTTCGATCCGTAATAAACACCATCAGTCAGGTGAGTTATTATCTTGCAAACCCTGTTTATGTCATCAGTTCCTTCATTCAATCGAAAAACTATCATGTTCGCCTCACGCTCTTTCGATTCCATAACATCGGTTAGCGTTTTTTGTACTTCTTTTTACATCATCGTTTATAATCTTGGACACTTTTCTTAACCTCTGAACAAACCACACTAGCGAAAGATCTGCTCATTTCATTTTAAAGGCTTAAAATTTCATTACAGAGCTTTGATTCAGGGATATCCAATGTAGACATTTTGCTTTTATTTTCTTCCAACTTCACTTTGATTGCATCTATTTTCAATCTAATCTTTTTCCTTAAGCTGTCTATCTTGTCACATATTTGAGCATTTCCACTTTTAACGCTTTTGATGACCTGGTCCTCCAATGAAGGTGATTTTAAACACCCATCACATACAAATTTGACATTACTACATGCCTTTACTAGTTCTAAGGATTCTTTAGTCAAGCCGACAGCAAACGAAACCCCGCAACGAAAACACTGAACGTCTGTTGACTCTTTATCACATCGTACGGCATCACTGTTTGCATTTCTCGTAGATCTACCCTTCCCACTCATCATCAACTGATCAACAGGACAGTTTAAATCAGTTTAAATTATTATATTCTGAGTCTGTTATAAAATATTGCAGTTCGCAAAATTAACACGAGTCAGCTATAATATATTGCAGCCAGCAAAAACAACACTAGACAAACAACACAACTCGGCACACGATACAGCATGTACAGATTATACTATAACAATACAGTGTATGCACACTACCCTATAACAATTATAAACCAAACTTTCATTTCGACGATTTAAACACAATTAATATTAAATTTAGTAAAACCAGAATTTAAATAAACTAAAATTACTACAATTAATTTTCGATAAAAAATTAATATTACCCTATTCACTTAAATTATTCCTATCAAATGCAACCCAATTTAATCAAAATCAATAACTACAAACTACAAAACTTTAGAAAAATATATATATATATATTAGAATAAGATTTCAACATTGTGATCCAAGATTTGTCTAGTAATTTTAGTTTTGTGTTTCTCTTCATGTAATTCTTTATATCTTTTATGTAAATGTATATATAAAATAATTTGAAATTTTATTATTGATTTGAATAAATTTAATATTATCGATAAAATAATTATTCGAAAATTGAAAAACTTATTTACAAACTCAATAATGCGGTGATATTTATATATATATATACATATATATATATACATATATATATATACATATATATATTATATATATGTATATATATATAATATATATATGTATATATATATGTATATAGAATGTATATATATATATATATATTATGTATATATATATACATATAAACATATATATATATATAGTTGTTCAAAAAATCCACCGACGATTCAGCATTAACAAGTTTTATGGTTGATTTTCTAATATTTTGAACTAGTTCTTTACAATTAAGTCTATTCAAAATGTTGAAATCCATTTTATAATCGTTTATGATTTTAATTGTTAAAATTAATCAAGCAAGATCCCATTTTTATAATCGTTTATTTTTTATATTATTATTAAAATTATGCATATAGATCTATTTCGACGTAAAGTCATCATCAGTGCAATATATTTTAAATAAATTCTATTAATAGTTAATTATTTGTATTTTTTAATATATTAAAATAAAATAAAAGTAACGAAATAAAAACGCAAAGGTTCATTGAAATTAGTAAACAAAATATTGAAATTATACGATTGTTCATGCT